CCTTAGCAAAGCGCATCCCAGGCTGCATAGCCGCACTACCCTACCCAACCATACCACACATAAACATGACACTACCCCCGGGGTTTACACAGACGAGCCGGCGAAGCAAGAAGAGCGCCAGAAGAAAGGGCCCTAGCCGGCGGGGCCCAGCCAGGACAAAAGGAGGTCCCACAAAGCGCCTACACCGGCCGCATTTGCGGTCGGGGTAGACGACGGATGGGGCCCACCTACGAAGGCTGTCCAGGCCTACACGAGATGAGGCAGGATAAAGAGGGATAATCCCCCTCGATCCCAAATCATTGAGGCCAATTTCTAGCCATGGAATAATGGCGCGCGGTCTCTATATTATTTTTATAGTCTTTGAATACGGCCCAACAGAAAAAAGGGGTAAGGAATCGAGTATAGCTAGCTGATTGGTTGAATTAAATGTAGCGCCCTGCGGTCGAAATTCTGTGAACGAAGCTTAAGCCCTTACTCTTTCCATCTCTCTCGCACACGTCTGAGCGATTACCGTTTATATAGGCAAAATGACAGTTGAGCGAGTCCAGTAGTTTATGAGGTCTATGGTCAGAACAAACTAATATGACCTTCAAATCGAACTTTCAAATGTAATGTGAAAGTAAATTTTTTTTGCAAATATTTCGAGGTTATTTAGAAATGTACTTGAAGATTTAAAAACTTTTGTACAAAAAGGTTTTGGCTACTAGTGAAAATGGGGGCTTCAAGAGTAAGTTGTCTTTAGTACATTTTTCTCATTATTTTAATGTAATAAATGTATATATTTTTAAATAGCCTGATTAACTTTAACTTAAAGATTTAAATACATTTCAAATTTAAATCGAAAGAAAGCTGTTTAAAAAAAACTTTTTTGTATGTGTTTTGTCCTTAATTATTATTATCATTATTATACCTATGCTATTAAGTTTTTTCTTTTTTAAATATAAATTTTAGTAACATATGTTTAATTTTTGTCTTTAATGAATATGTTAATTAATAATGAAGATATTTAAGAATTGTCTAGATAGGCCTCTGAGAAAGAAAAATATAGTTTTATAAATTACAATATGTACGTTTAAGTATATCAATATGAAATTAAGAAAAATGCCAACATATTAGCGTCACATATTTTAACATAGGTATGCAATTTATTTACATATTAGCTATGTCTACCTAGGAATTATTATTTTTATCTTATCTGACAATTCTGATAATAGTTCAGAAAGGGAATAATCTCAATTCTCAGTTAGTAAAATGGATAGGAGACAGTAAAGTCATGGTAAAATAATAAATAATAATGAAATATATTAATTATTCTTTTTTTTTTTGTAGGGCTCTAATGATGAATATTTATTCGACCCTCAGCTTTTGAAGGGTTTGGATTGGAATTCAGTACTGATTAATTTAAATCCTCCAATTACCAACGAAAATCCTGGAGAGCCATGGTTGCTAGTTCGACCGTTGGCCCTTTCAGATTACAGTAAAGGATATGTACAAATATTGTCACAATTGACTAGTGTTGGAAATGTGTCTACAGCAGATTTTGAAGGTATTTTTTTTATAAATGTAACAGTTTAAAGTGTATAAGTATTCACACTTATTTTGTTTTTAAAAATGTATAAGATTTTTTTTATCACAAATTTTAATCAAACGATATTCAATTTCTGCAGGTATGTAATTTACGAAAAATCTGTGGTGATATGTATTAGAATTTAAATATTTTGTTACATATATATTTCTGGAAATCATTTTTGAAATCTAAGGCCTGATACATTATCCTTTATAAAATAAATTAGTATAGGTGCAGTCTAATCGCATAATCAGTTAATCAAGTTTTAACCGAGACTCAAAGTACCGGGCCTAAATCTATGTGATTATAAGCAGGAAACGGATGTTTCCTGTTTTTACAAAGGTCATGTCAAAGGAATTTAAGGATAACAACATTTTAATGCTAAAATATTTTTTATCACTTTATTTCCCCATAGTTTAATCAGTGGAAATGCCTATTCACAAGTGAGTATTTTCTGAGAAACAAAATCTAAAGTTAATTCAAATATATAATAATTATTTTTAGGTTTTTATTTGAGAAAAATATTATCAATAGATAAAGTCTATTGTTCATAATTATTGTATTTAAATTTGTGAGATAAATTATAATTTAAAAAATAATTTATTAACTTTTTTTTTTGATTATTTTAATATGAGTTTTGATTTAATATGTGATTGGATGGAATATTGCTTTTAATTTTGTGACTAAATGCATTTAATTTGTTTTATAAATGTAAGTCAAATATAAATGTAGGTAAATGGTACTAGGTGTTCTAGAAAGGTTACTATCATGGATTCCTGGAAAGAAAAAAATTTTTTCTCATCTAAATTTGAGAATATTTTTCTTCCCTGTAACTTTTATTTTTTCCGTAATACATAAATAAAATGACATCCACTATGAAAAAATTAAGTTTCAACTTCGTTCTCAGCTCAAACCATTGGTGTAGATATAAGGTAGGCTGGTTACATTATCTTAAAAAATTATGTCCCTATGGTTAAAGCTGGTACTTAATTCTTTCATGTTGTATGAATATTCATTGTATGAGTATTGAATAATCATATTTAATTTCCTTATTTCTTCAATGATGTTTAGATAGGTAGTCTAGCCCTATAAGGTGACCTGTGGGGCTTGAGTTGAGATTAAGTCAAATAAAATGACCTTGACTCAATTTCCAGGTGACCTTATAGGGCTAAGCTATCCGCGAATTCAGGTTCAGCGACTTCAAAAGCGTACATAGACAGGTTAACATTCGTGAAAGGCCTTTTCTTTACTTTGACCTTGAAATGATGTTGATTTGACCTAAATGCGACCTTGTAGAGCTAAATTATCTCCAAATTCAGTCCCCCCCCCAAAAAAAAAACTTATATACACACTGGTTGAAATTCAATACAAGCCTTTTCTTTAGTGTCATTTTGAAATTACCTTGAATTGACTTGAAGGTGATCTTTAGAGTTATGCTATCGCCCGATTCAGATTCTGCGAGCCCAAAAACCTATACACTCACTGGTCAAAATTCATTACAAGTCTTTTTTTCAGTTTGACCTTGAAATGACCTTTACCTGACCTCTAGGTGACCTGGGGGTTCAGTGATCCCAAAAGCATTGTACCTACTGGTCAAAATTAATTACATACCTCAGTTTTTGAATCCATCAACTTGAAAATTTGTGAAGCTTACTCAGTCCTACAGCCAAAATCACACACTTCCCCCCTCTATGTATGTATGTATGTATGTCAGAGGGGTGGTGGAATTGTTTTCCACCGCGGCACTTAGGCCTTATTAGGCCCCTTGTACACCTTCCTTCATTACTCGAGTACTTTTCTTCAAACCATCCTATTTTACTTCACGGTTGGCTTGGTGGCAAAGTCTCGTACAGTTTATGTACGATAGCATGGTCTTGAGTTACCTACAGAGATTTTCTTGTTCTGTTCTCATTACCATTTATCGGGGACCACACGCGTGCGGCAAATGTTGGCGACCCAGGTCTCTGGTAGGCTGCCACAGCCACGTCCCCGAGCCTGCCTTAGGTCACCCATCCAAATTCCAGCTTGAGTCCGTGATGCTGCCACAGCCACGTCCCCGAGCCTGCCTTAGGTCACCCATCCAAATTCCAGCCCACGTCCGTGATGCTTGCCTCAGCAGATTGAAATCCGCCGGCCACGACACCCGGCTAGGCGGTCCCCCCTTCCCCCCTCTATATCTCTGAAACTATCCATAGGATCACTTTGGGCCCGTGACAACTTTTGATCAGAATGTCGAGAACTATAACATATCACAATTTCAGCCAAATCTAGCGGGGCCCAATTTCCATTAATTTTGTGCGGGGTCCTTTCTTGACTTTTAGTAGTACTTATTTCAAAAATTATTTTATCTCACAGAAAATGAAAGTGGTTTTAAAAATTAAAAAAGCGGTACCTATTGTAATACTTATACCTACTTATTAATTCCTATCGTTTTATTGTGTGAAACTGATTTTTAACTGATCTATAAAATTTAAGGTCAGTTCCGCAATATGCAAAAAGCTGGTGGATATTACGTAACAGTTATAGAAGATACCAGAAATAATAAAATAATTGGTGCTTCATCTCTAATAACCGAATTTAAGATGATACATAATTGTGGCTTGAGAGGTCGCCTGGAAGATGTTGTTGTAAATAATACATACAGGGGAAAGCAGTTAGGAAAACTGTAAGATTTACTTATATTACTGCTTCGTTACTAAAATCAAAACTTCTAATTGAAACTAAATATTTTGTAGGATAATTTCAAAATAATTTTAATGTATAATCACAATCAAAGAAAAAAATTGTACAAATTCAACAAAAATTTAAAATTAATTTGAAGTTTTGATTCAGTAGTATACTAACTTTTTTTTGCACCTTTCGTCACTAAAGAATTTTAGAATTATGCTTTATCAGTATGGAACCTCATTATTGTAGTACAATATTAAATTTGCATTAGATTAAATAGTAATAGTTTTCTTAAGGGTTATAATTTTCCTAATTATTATTTCAGGAAACTGTGATATTGTTCAAATGCACATTTGTTTATTGGATGAGTTAATTTGATCTGATTTGGGTTGTCAAATTACCAGCTCAATATTTTATTCGTACTACTTAGATATATTTTAGTAAAACCAAATAATATTGGGTGTGTGACGTTCACCTTTGGTTAGAAGTTAGAGATAATTTCTTATTGAAATCTGAAAATTTGTGTATGGGTATTCCTGGATATATTTTTTCCCAATGAAAATATTGAAATGTTCTTGGTTGTGATTTCTGTAGTGGTTGTCAATGACTGGGTTTTTCTTTTTGAGAGCTAATGGTTCTTGAAAAGTCAAGAAACCTAAACCGATGACACGACAACCAGCCTGGAAATTGTTCAGCCTGGGTAACATTCACTTCTTTCTGGTCAGTTGCAAGTTGCTGTCAACTTTTTTATTGTAAACGAAATGTAAATTCAGAACAAAAACAAAATTTTGTTTAAAAAAACATACAACTGTAGGGCTGTGTGATTTTTAATATTTCCTAACATGTTTACTAAAAGGATCTGCAAGAATTTTCTTTACTTTTTTCATATAAACATTTCATAATACGTACAAACTACTTCATTTTTTCGGCCACATTTTGTCAGTTTGAAACTGCAGAAACTTATTTTTGCTCGGTTATGAAAAATTTAATTTGAGATATAAAATACTTTGTTATATCTTATTCGCACTTAAATTATGTTCGCAGATAGACATTAAAATAATTAAATCATTCATTACGTTTGGTGGTTCTGCTGATGACTGATCTTAGCTATTACTATTATTACGAATGTTTATCTATCTCTCTTGTGACAGAAGTATTATTCTGTATTTATTTGAAATGAACGGCGCAAAATATTTTAATATCTAGTTTTTAACTTTTATTTAATTTTTAATTCACACCTTTATTTTACAAAATTGTTATTTTTTAGAATTGTACTCACAGTGTCACTTCTTGCAAAGAAATTAGGCTGCTATAAAATGTCTCTGGATTGTAAGGATAGTTTAATACCATTCTATAAATCTATTGGATATAAATTAGAACCTGGCAATGCGAATTCTATGATTGTTCGTTTTGAAGAGCCTTCAAAACCTGTGGATCCTTCCTGACAATTAGCCGCCAATGCTGCCAATGTCAAATCCAAACTTTAACTGTTTTTTTTTTATAGTTCATGCCCTTTGTAGCTATACGTGTATCATGGCACTGTTTAGTTGAAGTTAATTTTAAAATACACGAGTTCTTTTGAGTTACACGATCTTAACAAGATCTTAATATTATGTTTTGGTAAGGAAGTGTTAAATAGTGCAATCAATTTGCTTTTTTACAATAAATAATTTTCAAAAATATTAATAGACATTCAAAACAATTTTATTTAATTCATTATTTATAATTATTATGACAAAGGTTTGCTTAATGAAGTAAACACTTTATACTTATTTATATTTATACTTCGAGATATAAAATTTGTTGTCTAGAATATATCATTTATTTATTTTCATGAAATTCTCTGTATAAATACATTTTTAAATCAACTTATAAGTTTATATTCATTTATTTATACTAGTTAAATAAAGAATTCTTTTTGTTTTATTTTTAATAAATTGTAGCAAATATGGAATACGTTTTTTAATCATAGGGTTAATAACTCTTGTTTATTTTAGGAAATTTTTGAATGTCGATTTTTCATTTAATTGAAGCTCTGTTCTATTAAAGTTTCGTTCCTAATCATAACACTTTATATGATAGTTATTAGCGATTTCTTGGAAACTATCAGCTCGAATTTCATATTTAAAGTGAATAAAGGTATAGCAATGTTGTGTAATCATTGATCCCAAGATGAAATTTTTCACCATGCATGCTTTGATCAGTGGCGGCTCGTGACATTGAGAATAGGTAAAGCAGCCGAAAATTTTCAAGGTCAAATGGCTTTAATTGAATCGGGAAATTTCTAGTTGTATTTGCAATATTACCAAAAAACTGACTTTCGCGAGAAGGATTTTCATTTACATTTTATAAAAAATAGAAATATTAGTTCGGCTCGTGGACTTAATGATAGGTACAGATACTTCCAAAAGTACACTTTGTCTTTAGACTCTTTTTCCACATCGAGAAGAGGTACAGGTCTCCCGCAATTTAAAAAAATCTCTTTTGTCCTCAATTTTCCATCTGCAAAATGGGATTTCCAATAAAATACATACTGGATCATACAGGGTGATTCATTAACAATGGGAAAATCGAAACCTGAAGATACTACACGTGAAGTGGTGACCATTGGCGCAAACATGCCTTATCCGAAAGTTGATAGTTTCGGAAATACAGGGTGTTGAAAGTTAAAATTTTAAATAGTTTTTTTGCGATTATTTTGACAATATGTAGGTTAGGAACTTGAAAATTTGTGAAACTATATTTTTTTAGGCGACGAATAAGATGCATGTTGCAATTTCAGCATTGCTCATAGAGGGCGCCACTTACGACCAATTTTACCGAAAATTAATTTTTTAACTTTTTACCCTGTATGTCTAACATGAAACTTGATTCAAAACCTGAAAAAGCAATCATTTTTCCATTAATTGTGTATTCTTGTTTCATTTCGGTTTGAAACAACATGTTGAGATTGCGTTTGACTTCGTGGCAGCGATTTGTATTCTTTGCCACAACTCTTCACACGAACCAATAGATTCTTCCAAATAGAAAAATGAAGAGGATTTCAGTCCGGACTTCTGGGTGGCCAAGTAAAAATGCTTCCACGGCTTGAAGAAGTTCCACTTTATTTAAGAAGAGATGTGGTTCATGTACGACGGTGCTCCACTGCATTTTTCTTGGCCAGTGCGTGCATATTTAGATGCAGTTTTTCCAAATCGCTGGATTGGCCATGTAAGCATTTTTGCTTGGCCATCCAGAAGTCCGGACTTCAATCCTCTTTTGATTTTTCTATTTAGTCTCGAATGAAAGATATAGTTTACAAAGAATCTATTGGTTCGTGTGAAGAGTTGTGGCAAAGAATACAAATCGCTACCAACGAAGTCAGACGCAATCTCAATATGTTGTTTCAAACTCGAAGGTCTCTCAGAAAACGTGTAAAGTGTATCAGTGTTAACGGTGGATTCTTCGAACAATTACTTTAAATTATAATTACGTATTTTATTTGTTTTATTAATGTTGTAATAACACGAAGAAACACTTGGTTTGTTTCGCTTTTAATTTCTCATATTATCAAAATATAGTGTTCGTTAAATCGATTTTTCTCGAAAACGGATCGAGATACCGAAATGAAACAAGAGTACATAATTAATGGAAAAATTATTGCTCTTTCAGGTTTTGAATCAAGTTTCATGTTAAATATACAGGGTAAAAAGTTATTAACTAAATTTTCGGTAAAATTGGTCGTAAGTGGCGCCCTCTATGAGCAATGTTGAAATTACAACACGCATCTTATTCGTCGCCTAAAAAAATATAGTTTCACAAATTTTCAAGTTCCTAACCTACATATTTTCAGAATAATCGCAAAAAAACGATTTAAAATTTTAACTTTCAACACCCCGTATTTCCTAAACTATAAACTTTCGGATAAGGCATGTTTGCGCTAATGGTCACCATTTCACGTGTAGTATCTTCATCTTTCGACTTTCCCATTGTTAATTAATCACCCTGTATATATGAAACTTTTCTACAATTGACACAAAACAAATATTAACAAAAAACCGTACACTGGGCGACGCGACGTATTGTATAAACTGTTTAGAGGCAGGCGGTGGGCGATGACGATGCTGCTTCAATTTCCGCGTCACTCATTCCTCACGCCGTTTTAGGTGAAGCAGTGCGTCACCTACGTCACCTGGCGAGCTGCCACTGACTGATTGAATAAAAAATTGATCATCTGGCCATTTTTCTTTGTGTAACAAGTGGAAGAGAAAGGGACGTTAATTTTTAACTTCAACATTGTATAGAAATCATATAATATTGTTGTTATCATGTTTGTATTAGAAATTTTGTCAGTTTGTCAATTTTTTTTTTTATAAATTAAAAGGAGGGTTTTGCACTGGGCATTCTGTTATATTTTTTAGAAACAGTAAACATCTTCCTTTTCAAAGATCTAGATTAGACCTTTATTTTTAGCATATACACACATTTACAAAAGATATAACTTTAAGCAAGATATTGTTAATGAGATTTTTGAGTTAAATTTATTTTTGAGTACTTATTTAGTTATCAGCATAATTTAAAATCGATTAGATTACTGGACATTTTCATTCTTATTATTTTTTTTTTTTCAAACGCAATATCCAAGTACACAGAAAAAGAAACAAGTTATGAAACAAGGAAAGAACGAAGCTATTTTATACTAACAAGAAAGGTTATCGAAGTATCAGTTACTGATTTTAATGAAATTTCGATATGTTGTGGACAAAAAAATATAAGGCAGGTATATTTTCCTTTCTGCTGATAAACATTTTAAAGAGGTAAAAAGCACCTCTAAAGTTTTCCTCCAAAAACAGTTTTTTCAAGATATCTCTGTTTCTATACAATTTTTTTTTATAACATTGATTCAGATAATAAACAATTTCTAGTTGGTTAAAAAAAAAATTGTACAGAAACAGAGGTTCTTAAAAAAGCTGTTTTTGAGGGTAAGATTTAGGGGTAATTTTTACCCTTTAAAATGTTTATCGACAGAAAAGAAAATATACGTGTTGTATTTTTTGTCCTCTATGACAGCGAAGTTTAATTGAAATCCTTGTAAGTCAAGTTATTTATAAACACAAAGATTTTATGTTCACCTTTATTAATTTTTGAAACTTGAAATAGTTTGTTAAACAGTCAGTAATAATTGAAAATAAAGAGAACAGTGCCTAATTAATGATTTTATAGAGTATTTCTTTAATTTGAAAATAAAAATACAAGGAGTGCAAGGGGCTATGTTTTGTGCATGTTCTTTGCTTTGGATATGTACAAACATCGTGGATTTGACGTTTAAGCATTGGCTGGTGTTTTATCGGCACTTCGGAAATGCCGTTGGATATAAATATGTCGAGGAATATAACTATAATTTTATTTCATTTTCTTATTTCGTTTTTTACTATTATCAAAAAAATTTTTCTTTTTGAATATTATTTTTGTAGTGTTGAAACATTTGTAATGTGGCAATTTTTTTTACATTTCAAAAATTTATATTAGTTTTATGGTCATCCCTTGGCATATGAATAGTTAATAGTCATATTGCTTGAGAAATAAGTTGTTCTGTGAAAGAAATGATAAGAAATGTAAAAATGAACAATTTTCATTAAACGATCTCATTTTAGAGAAGGTGAATGAATGCCATGTATACTAAAGTTTTTCGATCAGTTGTTCAGTAAGAATGAGTGTCCTCTGTTATCCTTTTCACAGAACACACTTAGTTTTAAAACACTGAATATATTTCCTTTCATACACTTTTTAAAATATTATGTTGATATATTATGTTTTTATACTTTATTACTGCAGCTATTCAGTATTTAATTAAATCTAAAAAATTGTGTTAAATTTGTAAAGAATAATTTCAGATTAGAGTCAGAGCTCTAAATATACTGCAGGAAAATGTTTATAGACCTTAAACAATTTTTTGTCATACTGTGAACAAAAAATCTATTCTATTTTCAATTCTCGAATCGTCACAATAATGAAACTATGCCTTGTATCCAATTTACATAAGTTCACCTGTACAATATTGGAGTTGTTTGTTATATATTTGCTGTAAATTTTTTGTGTCCCAGGAATAAATGTCTTTAAATCATTAGAAGCAACTTTTGTCAATTTTTTGGGGAAGCTCACATTTTTGTCCAATATTTTATTCCCTTTGAAATAATGCCAATGAGCAGTCGTCTTGAGATTAAAGAAATACATAAGTAACATAAGCAAATTATGAAATAATTCATTATATCTTATAGTTTTTCTAACTAAATATTAAACAGTTGTCATTATTGTGCTTCTATTTGTTTATTATTAAATTAAAAAATCTTTTGACTTGTTTCTAGTGGTAACAAAAAATTAAAAAAGTATATACTAAAAAGTAAGAGGCTCTTGGAAAAAAAAGACAAAAGTTGTTGCTTTTGAGGTCCTTATTTCTAGGACCCTTATACAGTGTAGGTGTTTCTCATTGGATAAAGGTATTTTAATACTCTGGGATGATTATTATTTATGCTCTCTATATTACAATGTTCTTTTTGTGTACCTACATATCGTTTATCAATTTATCCACACAAATATCTAACTATATAAATTTTTTAGTACTGCAAAACAATTAGGAACATTATTATTTAGAGGCCTCTAAAAAAAAAGCTCGCAATCAGCGACTTACCAATATAAAAGAGCATGTTTTGATTTGATTCTTGCACACCCCTGCACCCCCCTAACTACGCTCACGTGTACCACTGTACATCTTAGCAGTATATTAAGAGTTTAGATTCTCTAGTCTATTTTGCTATTGTAATATAATATACATACTTACTTTGTTATAGTATACAGAGCCTTCATAAACGTTTACAAGTCACGTGACCGCCAAGCTTAGGCAACCTATATTGCAGGGCTGGTACTGGTAATGAAAAATCCCTAAAGGGCAGGTACTGGTACCGAAAAATCCTTAAATCTTAGTGTCACCAGTATTAATGATTTGTTTACAATGAATAATGGCAAACCGTTCCGTCTACACTCGAGATAATGTGATCGTTGATTAGTTGCATGAATCTCGTAAAAAGGTACACCAATCACAGTCGGTGAAACAGAACGTTGTGTTTTAAAGTAATCTTTATCGTATCGTTTTAATAATTTTTAATTTTACCAAAATTTAATTGCCAACATGAAGGAAATAAAATTACTGGTCACGTGGCTGGTAATCATTTATGAATGCTCTGTATATACATAATGTGTATTAACTTTTTATAGTTTTTTTACCGTTTCATATGGTTGTGGGAATACTAATATTTTAACTAGCACGTTGTGTAATATACAAATTTACTAATTTCATTTAATAAATAATGAATATAAATATAAATCTTGTGTTTGTGTTGGTTAATTTAATCTTTTTGTTTCTTTATCATATAAATCAGTTTATATTTCTTTTAGATGTGGAAAGTAATAATTGGTAATTAATAAAATAAATGATTTTATTATTTGTTTTAAAGTATTTTTATTTGTATGTAATTTTATTTATTCTATTCAAGTTGTGAATGTCACTAATTAAAAAGGACAAAAAAAATCCACATTTAGACATTTTTTTTATAGTTTTTCTCAGTAAAACGGGTTACAATAGTGCATTTAATGGTAAAAATAGATGGATGAAGTGGAATAAAATCTCTTCAAATCTTAATAATAGAAAAATACATAAGTTATAATTATGATTATTACGGTGGCACGAGACTAAACCTCTTAATATCTAATATTATTATAAAACTCATGCAGGAACCTCTAAAACATTGTTGTAAAAAACTTAATTTGAAAAAAACAATGCTACAAAAAAACAAACATTTTATTAAAATGAATAGTACAATTTAACTATAAACATCTATTTACATCACCAATATCTATGAAACAGGTCATCCATGTTTTTGTGTGAAGGGTATTTATAAAAGTGCGATTAATTCAAATACCTATTATTTATGCGTCATTTTCCTTTTTTTCAATTTTTCTTCCCAATATATCTACTTTTTTGCAAATATTGATTTCAATTTCGGAATCTGAGCTATTTTCATCTGAAGAAGAGTCTTCATAAAATCCCAGACCTGGTAAAATTGCTACACATTTTAATCCTGATTTAGGCATCACATCTGCATTCCCATTTGAAATTTTATTATCGTCTAAAATTCAAAAAATAAACCAGAACCATCAAAATCTATTTAAAAAATTGATATTTTATATAATTTAATCAAATTCTGTATATTTATATACTGATTTCTGTTAAAAAATTTAAGTAACGTGCATACGTATGTGGGGTGCCTTATAAATAGCTACTAATCTGTTAGCATATACAGGAGATAAATATAAAACTAAGACAACATAATTTTTCAGGTCCCAAATACTACTTAGAGATTTACTTTTTGGGTTCTAACTTTGAATATTTTTATAAAGTTTTGGCATAGTGTACTACAGATGATTTGATATCCTTTACTATTAACTATATGGTATCCAGAAACACATTTTTTTTTACATTTTGACGTTTCAAAAATATTGCTCTTAGGTGACCATTTTTGTCAAGTCCAAAACTTTTCAAGAGTTGGTCATAGCTTAAGAGAACCAAATTAAAACTAAAAATAAACATTTACATAATAATAAAAATCGAGAAAAGGGGAATATCACATTGGTAAGAGTTCAAAATCAGCTGCCTGTACAATTTTTTATTCTACGAATATTTTCTCAAATAACATTCTAAGATTGTTACGAATTTAATTACAGTTCTGTGCCATTTTCGGCAACAGTGTTTATGGGTGCTGAATAAATGAGTTCTTCTGGATGTCTCTACAGAAAAAAGTCTAATAGATAAAAGTTTGGTGACCTAGGTGTCCATAAAGTAGGTCTGTCTTGATATACCTAAGGATCACAAAAAACTTTCCATAAGTATTGATGCATTAAAATGAAGTGGTGCATAATTGAGCATGTAGTTTATTTTAAACATATTCGTTGTAAATGCTTATTTTTAATTTTTAACTTATCTCTCTTAAGCTATTTTAAAGGTAAATAAACTGTGTATTGTTACGGGGAGGTTTTTCCGATTATCACTTCAATGCAGGTTTTCTTTATTTAGCCGAGATATTCCTGAGCCGTAATACATGGTTTCAATAAGGAGTAGTTCATCTACAGCTTTTTATTACAACTTTTGTGGAATTAACAGTAAAATAATCTCAAAAGATAACAGATATCAATTTTTAATGTTATAAAACTAACACTGACAACCCTGATCCTTTTTGAAAAGTCTAGAACTTTTACGAGGTCCAGCAAATGCCCCGCCATCTAGCTTTCTGGCCGAGCAGGTCCTTTCCACGGTTGTTCATTTTAACACGTTCGCGACGGTACGATAATGGGAAATCCACTATATAGGACGCATTTTTTTTTTTAATAGTTGTTTATTTGAACCTATTTTTGTGTCAATAAAAGGTAATTTTTTCAGTAATAATGTTTTTTTTTATTCCGATCAAGATTTTGAAAGTGACCCACTGGTGGGTCACGACGTCCCCTGGTAATAATTTTACCTATGGGCCGTCGTGACCCACCCGTGGACACGGGTTATTTTTGAGTTATTACTTGGAACTTGCGTTGTAAATTCTTGGGTAATATATAACTGCCACAGTGGTAAACAAAATATGGACATGCTCCGCTTTCGGGAAAAAATAATTGAAGGGCTATTACAATTAGACACCCCCAATGTCACCTACCAAGAAGAAGGTGAAGAAGACGTACAGGTTAATGAAAATGAGAATCACACTAAGAAGAGAAAACGAGAAAAGAGCAGACAGACATTTTTATTACGTCTAAACAAGTTTTCAATAAAAAAAGTTAACTTTGTTCAAAATGCCCTTGTTTTAAGTATTTAATTCCCTCTGATCCCCAAACGATTTTGTATGTGTAATGATATACATTTCAGGTAGCCGTAACTTCATTGTGAAAAGCATTCAAAACAAACGTACATTTTAAAATGCCATTCGGATTATCCCACATCGTGACCCACCGGTGGACACGCACGTCCATTAGTAAAATGCTGTGTGACCCACCGGTGGGTCACGACGCCGCGAACGTGTTAAGGCTTTATTGTTATTTAATTTGTAAAAAATTAAACTCTAGTTGTTGTCGTACTAATTGTTTCTACTGTTGTTTCAAAAACTGATTTATTTTGAAAACCATTTATTTCTTCGAAATATATGATGAATACCATTTTCAAAGAAAAATGTTTAGGGTATCTAAGAATATTTTAACTTGGGTTGTATATGTCGAAATTTTGCTTTGGTATTCATTTTCTAAATCCTCTGTAATAATAAAAGGCCAGTTTTAACATCAGTTCTTCGATACTAATCTATAATACACTATACTAAACTTTTATCAAAATATACAAGGTAGTTTTATAGTTAGAACCTAAAACATAAATTTTTAGGTACTTTGGGACCCTATTTCTCTCTTAAATTTTAAATTTTTAAACCTAATTTTGAGTCATCCTGTATAGTATGAGTAAAAATGTTTTGGAAATCATTTTTTAACTGTTTTAATTTTAGAAACAAAAAAAAAATGTTTGCATACATTTGAGATCTCAAGATCCGCAACCCCTAATTTAGTTTTAAATTTTTTTGTCACGAAAGTTCTCTATATGGGCACCCCCTACGTTTCAATATCAGAATATGAACTTTAATTTTTACTAGCCACCACCGGTCTCTGATATTAATTTTGTACCAATCCAACAAGCAAGGAGGGAGGAATTATCCAATTAAATCTCACCTTTGTTTTTTTTCTGGTTTGAGGTAGGAGGTGGTTATTACGGATTGTTAAATATATTCAATAATGGCACGGCTTTAAATAAAGCTGGGTTCATACAGTTGTAAAAAGCAAATATTATTTCGATAGATTGATTTACTTAAAAATTTTGCTCTCCAGTTAAATTAGTCAGCAGAATATTCACAATTATATGAATCTCGCTTAGTGTTGGCCGAAATTTTTATATTTCTTCATCTGCCATAATTTCTCATTGTATTATACAGTTTTATTAATTCTTCATCATTTGCTCTTGGATTTTAATTTTTTTTCTAGTTTATATTTTTTTGTGCACTATTTTCTTTCGATTACTTTTCTTATTATATTTCAAGATACTGTTTAGAAAATTTGTTAATTCTGACATATATTAGGTACACCGGAGATACAGTACATTATCATTAACCATGCGAACAAATAAACCTTTTTATAAAATAGGTATATAAAATAAAGATGTATAAAGCAGAGTCCATTACAATAAGTTTCATAAAAAAATGTTCACTTTTTTATATTTGTTTACTTAATACCTACCAGTTTCTTCAATATCTTGTTTTATTTGTTTGGCTTCTGGTTCATTAGGTTTAATATTATTTTCACCATCACTCAACTTTCTTTTTAGCAAACCATCATTTTTCTTAATAACGACACCTTTTAATAGTTTTTGCTGTGAACTTCTGGAAGTGGTTTGAGTTTTAGGTTTATTTACAACTATTTCTGCTTGGAGCCTTTCCTCTATTGATTTTTCATGTAAAATTGCTACACGATTTCTGTAGTCATTTAGTTCTCTTTCCTCTTCCATTTCCTTTTTCCTGTCAGCCTCTAATTTTGTTCTGTCTACCATATCAAGAAATTCAATTTCATCATCATCCAAGCCCTTGATCATATTTTCTATACAAGAAATTAGTAAGAAACTTCTGTTTAGAATTAAGCTAATATTAAGTGTACTACTTACTAAGTTTATGGGCCTCCTCATATTCTAAATCCTTTTTCTGTTTTTGTTCTTGCAATCTTTCATAAAGACTTCTAGGATCATATGGTTCTTCAGGACGTTCTAAAATAAAAAATTTTGAACACAAAATGTCAAAATAAAAAATTAACAAATGAGAGGTTATGAAAAGAATTTACCTAACGGATCGTCAGTTTTTCTTACTTTTTCCCATTCTTCCTGCCTTCTTTTTCTAATTTCAGCAGCTTCACTTTCTGTAATAAATCCTGAACTCATTTTATATATTCTTAAATTAAAAAAATTATTTTATACGATTACAACTACAAACACAAACCAACACAACAACTGACAACAACTAACAGATAAATGAATTGAAAATTGACAAATAACAGAATCGATTTGACTGACAACCATATTCAGCCAACAGAATCGTTGAGTTATGCCGTGTTCTTTTATTCACCATTTGGGTTCCATGGGATTATGTAGAGCCAATAAGAAATTAGGATTGTTTAAACGGACCAATAACATATGGATAGAATTCACCGCATCAAACAAAACTGAATAAAAGAACAAGGCCTAATTCCTAACTCATCGATTCTGTCGGTTGAATGTAGCCTTTGATTAAGGTCGGTAAAGTAAAGTAGGAGTAAATACTCCTACTATAAATATAGTACTTCTTTAGCGATCTTGACCTTTGACATTTATGATCATCAATTTTATACGCTGATTGAAATATTCTAGGATTATTGCTATCAGATAGGTAAGTGAAAGTAGGAGCTGAGGTCTGCCCATAAATTTTGGCTTCTGTAGGTCGTTAGGATCCAGGGGCACTGCAATCGACGCCCTCAGATTTGGTAAATTACGCATTGCCAGTATAATTTTGCATTAATACTTTTATTACCCTATTATAACAGTTTAAGCAACAACTTGCGTCTTTTTTGAATCACCCTTTGTTATATATCTGACTCGTCGACTGCAGCGGACAGACTAACTTCCCCTAAAACTGTGGGACAATAATTAGACGGATCCTCGTGTCCAGTATATTTAAGTCCTTTTTTTATTCATGATGTTGGAATCATAACGCGTTACGATCCGATGGAAACCAATCAGTTGCTAGATTCCCTGCCCGCTAACCTTTTCTGTTTCAGAGACAGCCAGGATCAAGAAACGAAGACAACGACACACACACACATACACACCCCCCATCCCCTCCTTACCCCTCCCCTCCCGCGCTAGCCTAAGGGCCACCTTAGCAAAGCGCATCCCAGGCTGCATAGCCGCACTACCCTACCCAACCATACCACACATAAACATGACACTACCCCCGGGGTTTACACAGACGAGCCGGCGAAGCAAGAAGAGCGCCAGAAGAAAGGGCCCTAGCCGGCGGGGCCCAGCCAGGACAAAAGGAGGTCCCACAAAGCGCCCACACCGGCCGCATTTGCGGTCGGGGTAGACGACGGATGGGGCCCACCTACGAAGGCTGTCCAGGCCTACACGAGATGAGGCAGGATAAAGAGGGATAATCCCCCTCGATCCCAAATCATTGAGGCCAATTTCTAGCCATAGAATAATGGCGCGAGTTGCTAGATTTCGGTTCGTAACGCGTTATGATTCTGAAATCATGAATAAAAGAAAAGAGCTTTAATGTAGGGATGATCGGGGCCAAGGCCGCTAATACTTTAGCGACCTTGGACTCGAGCAGCCATTTTATAGGAACATTTGCAAACTGTTCCGGTTAAAAAAACCTGCTCAGACAAATTCGCCCCTGTTGGAAACCAAGGAAACTGTTCTTGAAGTATTCTTCTACTGTTCTACTATCTACTTAAATACTCCAAACTTAAACAATTGGAACATCTCGAATATTCATAAATATTTTCCATTTAGGTGGTACCTACTTCTTTTTAATATTGTGGTCAGCCAAAAGCCAAAGTCTAATATACCGAAACGTATTCTTGTAGGGAATTTAACGTTCTACAAAAAATGCCCCTTTTTTTTGTAGAACGTTCAATTCCCTACAGGAATAGGTTTCGATCATTAAAATCTGTCTATTGGTTTTTAAGATATAAAATTCTGAAAAATTGAAAAATAATAAATAGGTATGTGAATAAAGTCATTATAACAATATTTTAAAAGAATATTTTGTCTCGGTGTGATTTAGATAAAATAATAGATTTTCCTGTTATATCATAAATTGCATATTGAAGTCGACATATCTCGAAAATAAGTAAATATAGGAAAAAACTTTATATTACAAAATTACGCATAATTTAACGATCTTTCAGATGGACTTCATTTCCACGTTCCAGGGATCAAACAATTTTTTTGTATCGCCACGCCATCTATACAGAAAGATTTGAACTAACAGTTTTAACTGCAATTTGAAGCTATTCGAGGGACTGAACAACCCTAATTTCCGTAACTAAAATAAGTTTCTTCATTTCGGAGATATTGGCAGCGGGTGTGTTAAATGGCACACCCTGTATGCCTATCTCCTCTTGTTTTCGAGATAAAGAGAGACAAAATAACATTTTTTAAATAGAATTTTTACGAAAATTTCCAATGTACAATTTTATTTTCTAAAAACAATGTACTTTTGTTAGAACTTCCTAATGTGGACGATTTTCGAGAAAAGAGGCTTTTAATTAAACTCTTACAATATTACACTATAAAATAAGTGACTTTTCTCAAAGTAAGCTTGAGCTTTGAGAAAAGTCACTTATTTTATACACCGTAATATTGTAAGAATTTAATTAAAAGCCTTTTTTCTCGAAAATCGTCCACATTAGGAAGTTCTAACAAGAACTAGCGCCCTCAACGAAATATACAATAAATAATTAGACCAGCGTATTTGGCATCCTTAAAAACATCGGAATACCAAATTTCATAAAAATATTTCGCACCGTTTGGAAATTTTCATAAAAATGTTATTTAAAAAATTTTATTTTGTCGCTCTGTATCTCGAAAACAGGAGGAGATAGACATATAGTTCATATGGCAAACAATTCTTATTTTTTGTCTCCTCACCACCTGTATTTATAATTAGAGAGCGGACAATGTGTGTCTTTAACCCGAAGAATAGGTCAAATTTAGGTACTGTGGACTATTACGATAAAGGAAAAAATGCAAAGAGTGTTGGAAAAAAATCCAGGATACACCATTTTGGAAAACATATGTAAAGTTTTATCTGGTATATACATATCAGGAGTTACCAGCAAATATATTAATATATTGTTCATGCCTCAACAATTTCTCATACTGTCCGTTCCGTTGTCAACAGTAGACGCTGAACGGTCATTTTCCCTATACAAGTTAATATTAAGTGATAAACGTCACCGTTTCACTAAAGAAAAGAAAGGTAGTAATTCTGAATTATTTATTGAGTTCTATTTGTGGTTAAAGTTTGATTCACTTGAACTGAAACACCCTGTATATAATTTGACTGTCTTATTGTGAGCACCCTGTATGTGTGAAATTAATGAGACTGCATGGCAAAATTAATTAAAATTATGAAAAAATACCTTGAAAATATTTTTCTCTGACATTGCAATGAGTGAAATTTTTCGAGGTTTGCACCTATTTTGTGAACACCCTGTAAAAGCTATAATAATGAAACTTTGTATCTAGGGTTTTGAGGTGTGATCAAATCGAAAATGGTAGCTATTTCTTTTTTAAAAAAATGCCTAATATGTTTTTTAATTTTTGAGAAAAGATCACATGTCAAAAAATATAATATGTATCAAAAAGTAGGTTCTCGAGTACCTACTATCACATAAAAAAAGAATTTTGGAAATCGGCCAACGTCATCCTAAGTACAGAGGTGTTCTGACTTTTAGTGAAATACACTGTATAATATACAGGGTGTATTTAAATGAAGGGGCACAAATGATACCAGAGATTCCTTACGTGAAAATAAGTTGATTTACCCCAACATATTTAGATCCAACTCGGATAATTAAAAAGATACAGGGTGTCAAGACGAAAAATAAAAAATGTCTTTTTCTTGATAATTTCTAAGTCAGAAATGTTTCCAATTTTCTAGCGAGAGATTTTTTCAGGGTGGAGAAAATAATATATTAATAATTTTTGTCTGTCGCGTGCGGAGCTCCCTCTGCAGGCAATGTTATGCAAATAAGTATTAACTTTTTTCTCAGTCCTTGTATACAGCTTTTAGTAACATAATACGAAATATTGGACTCTAGGATTATTAATGTCCAAAACGGACGTTTTTGTTAATAAATTCAGAACTCATTGCTTCACAACATTTATAGTTGTGTATCTGTATTTTAAAATTATGTGTCTAAATGTGACCAAATATTACTTAAAGAAGTGCCACTAGCTTTCCGTGAAAACATGTGGTATCATTTTTGCATTTTTTTTATTCGTAGAATTAGACTGTGTTTACAAGAAAATGGAAACTATTTCGAAAACATCCTTTAAGATATATTTTATTTTTTAATTGTTAGTGTTGTTTAGATTAAGTATTTATTGTTTTATGTGACTCTTGGTTTTTCTAGTTTTGTTCTTTTCTTCAAATACAGGCAGCCATTTTCAACCCTTTTCTAGGTTTGGGGTATACACAACATTATTGGTTTTGTGAACTCCTTGGTATGGTTTGTTATTTCTTTTTAGTGCATTTTAGTAATGCAAACAACGGAATTTTAACATTGCCAGTTCGAAATTCCGGATAATGGGGATCTTTCCGATATCAATTGAAGAACCAAGAGGTTGACAGTATGTACCAGGTTCGGTCGCTGACGCAGCAACTCGGCATTGAAATACTTGAAAAACTTGTTCCCAAATTTATTTAGTCATACCCATATACAGCTCTGATCGAACTAAACGTGGAGGTGGTAGATTTGAAGAATGCGGGCGCGGACAAAGTAAAACAAACAAAGCTGCATTGGGCTACTGGGCAATAAATCTCAATTGTTGATAAGTGGTTGACAAATTGCATAGCAGTGCAGTGCAGCAATGCGGAATTTGGTGTGATTCAGGTAATTTTAATTTAGTATAGGCACCTTCTATTAATCATTCATATTACAATTGCGAAAGGGAGAAATAAGAGGGATACTTTGTTTACTAATATTAATACAACATGGCATTTTGAAGACCTTTTAAAACGGAACAAAACGAAATTTACTACCATATCATAAAATTTTTTGAGCACATAAATAATTAAAATATGTTGTTGGTCCAATGAACATATAATAGACATTTTCTACACATTATATACAAAATATTATAATTTTTTTCCTTTATAAGAAAACTTTTTTAGGGACGCCTCTGAAACACGTTAAATGTTATTGTCAGGTGTTTTTTTACATATTCAACTGACTTCGGAAAGACTGTACGC